TTTTATTCAGAAGTTGGAACCCTGTGTTATGGTGTTGCATCAGATAAATGTCTGTGCCTTGTTTATAGAGCTATAAACAATTTCTTTTGTTTAGTTCAAAAAGATCCTAAGATAAATACTTCTATAGTTGACTTTGTTGCCAAAGAAACTGATATTGGTTAGGTATTATGTCTTGCTTATGCGAATATAGTTCTTCGGTTTTACAGGTGGAACCGCCTACTGGGATTTCTTTAGAAAGCAAGATTAGCTATCCATAAATATATGTGATAAGTTTCATAAACTTGACTTGAAAAGATCCTGAGATATTAGCTTTACAAACTGACTTGGACAATGGAAGTATCAATAAAAAAGAGTGCAAAATAATCATGTCAGTTTGCATAATCATGTCATTTTAAAAGTCTGTTCTTAACATGCGCAGACGGAACCCCATAATCTGTTTCTGTTATAAATAAACAGAGCTTATCTATACATGTACACGACAAGTTTCATTCACTTGGCTAAAACAGATCCCGAGATAAAGGCCATTAAACAATTGCGTGACGTCACTTTTGCACACATTTGACATCATACTCAAATCTTTTAATACCCGACTCAAATGTTCTTAAGTTATAAGGCCACACATAATAGCTATGACATTATTTTTATGAACTCCCAACTGTGTTTGAGGCTTAAGTTCATTTATGACTTACTTTTATTTATGTTTTGCTTTTTGTACTTGCAGCAAAATGAGGCAACATTCAGCTGAACGATGAGGAAATCGAGTCCACATGCGCGTTATAAATATTAATGAAGAAACCAAAACGAAACGCAACGAGAATTCAATTGAGCGAAGCAGCAGCAAAATATATTGCCAAACACAAGAATCGAAGACAACAACAATAAAAGGCACTTAAAAATATATTTTTTGGATGAACCGAGTCAAATGTAAAGCAGATGTGTGTGTTGGTGTCTGTGGCATAAAGTTGTGGCTTCCACTTTAATTCGACTTCTTGTTGTTTGATTTTCTGTTCTGTTTCTGGAAGCAAACGAATCAAATTGAATTGTGCCACAATCCACAGCTTTATACGAAAACCGAACCGAAACGAAGCAAATCGAACTGAACCGAAAGATATAATACAAGCCCAGTAGCATTCCAAGTCGTAGCATTTAACTAAGAAGAAATATAATAAAAGACAAGATTCGTGCAATCTATGCATGATATATACAAATCCATTCAGCTTGGAGTAAGTGCAGCAGGAACCAGGCCAGCGGCAGCTGTTGGTGACGTCTCCGTGTTGCGGTAACCAAAATTCTCGTGTACAAAATGTCACTGGCCGACATGGGCACAGTAACACGCTCCGCGGGCGGCGGCGGTGCTGGCGGTGGTTCGCGACACTATGATCTGAGCGGAGCGGGCGGCGGGGGACCTGGTGTTGTTGCCGGCGGTCGCATGACCCACTCGCTAAGCACGCCCAGCGGCGTCGATGGCACGCCCTCAACGCCCAGGCATCGCGGCGGCAAGAAGCTGACGGTGCGCATACAAATGCTGGATGATTCCGTTACCATGTTTCAAGTTCAGGTGAGTGTGCATCAAGAGGGTATTACAATACGAGCATATATCAATTGCCGATTAGTACCTGCAAGTCGATAAAGTCAGTCTGTCTGACGCTGAATCGGATGTGTATATCTCTATATATAAAACTGTTTGTCCTGACTGACTGACTGACTGATTAGTGATCAACGCACAGCCCAAACCGTAACAGCTAGGAAGCTGAAAATTTCACTGTAGTTACTTTATGTGGTGTAGGTGCACGGTAAGGCGGGGTTTCGGGAAATTCCACCCGCAAGTGTGGAAAAATCGCGAAAAACGTTTGTATGTAACTTTTTTGTTTACCATACGATCGGCCTCGAACTTATTTCCAAAGATCTTTGTTCAAATTCATTTGAGGGGTGTTTCACACTTTTAGGAAAATCCATCCCTCCTTGGTGCAAATGGGGGTCGACGATTTGTTGGATGACGTTTTGTGTTCAAATTTATTTCCAAAGATCTATAGAAAAATCATTTGGGACGTGTTCCACATTTTTCGCAAAATCTAAACTAATTCGGTGGAAAATGCATTTCCAAGATTTTTTTTGTGAATTTTAAGTCCGATCAGTTGCAAAATCATTTTCAAAGCTTTTTGAAAACATTGAGGCCGGGCAAGGCCGGGTTATACCCGCTAGTATAGTATATAGCTCCCATGGGAACAATAAGATCAAAATTTAGTTGAAAACCTGCTTGGCTGAGATGTCTGGGCTTCGGACTAGCAATCACAAGGTCACCGGTTCAAATCCGGCTGCAATTATCACACTAAAATCTTGAATGTTTTTGAAAAAATCTTAGTTAAATTCAGCAATGGATACTTAAGCATGAACTTATCCGTATCTGACTATTTTATCACATAACTTTCGTTGGAATAATAAAGGCATATTATAAAATATATATAATTATTTATATCTCAGCTGCTCTCAGATAACTTCTGATTTATTCTTTGAACTTCTCTTGGATGGATATAGATTTTTTCTTCTCATAGCAAAACCTTTTTACGATTACGTAATTGTCGTTAACTATGGTCTAATTCATTTAATATTCATTGATTTATTGCCGTCTGCTCGCACGATCTCGCCTACATACAAATTTTCAATTACTTTTCGACCCTATGACAAATAGCACTTACCCAGACCCCAAAAGAGTTTCGGTTACTTGCGTCATGCTTCGGCTTCGCCTAGAAGCAATGGCAATGTGCGCCACAACTTTTCAATAATTATATTAAAAAAGTTTCTGTATTTCTGCATTATCAGCAAAATTGTTGACTTTTCCTTTGCCGTTAGCCAGATAAGCTCCTAAGAATGTTTTCTGTAATAGAAAAAATGAAATAATATAAATTGAACAACAAAGCCTTTTGTTAGATAAATAAATTGGCGTCAAAATAAAAGGCGAGGAAAAATTTCTGTGTCATGGCAAATGAAATGCTTGAAAGGCAGAAAAACTGAAAGCTAAAAAGCTGAAAACTGCAATAAAACAGCGAATTTCTGTTTGAAGGGGGACGTTGAAAAGTTGCCTAACCCAACGTTTCTTTAGTTTTATTTATGAAAGCGAAATTTTCAATGTCATGGAATAGAGAAAATAGGAAAGCAAAGTGGAAAGGACATTTGCCTCAATTTTATCCATGTCATACAACTGCTCCCAAGTTCTCTTAAGCATCTTGAAACTTGTGCAAATATTTACAGATACGCATCACATGGTTTCTATAGTTTTGAATCTGTGGCTATAGCTGAACAAAGCTGTGTTTGAAAAGCCCCGCAGATATTTTTCGGTCCAACAAAGGACTCAACCACAGGTCAACTGTGCGGCTATCGTTTTGCTGACCCATCAGAATAAAAAATCACACACATTATACCCGACCACAGGACATTTCAACTGTCTTATAATACCCTGCAAACTAGTGTAATGTGTGAAAGAGGTAGAGAACATCAAAGGACTATTAAAGGACTGCCCCTACAAAGTATGCATATATTTTTGATCAGTTTCAATACTAATCTATCTGAACTCAGGAACTTTAAGGGGTGGGTTCAGTCGGAGCTTACGAAGATAAAAACTGTTTAAAGTTTCCGATAAGTTCGCACAAGTTCTTTAAAATCGCTTAAAAAAAAATTGTAGACACGGTAAAGAAATTAATTTTGCTAAAATGTTTTTAAACTGCTTAACTTTTTCTTTGTCAAGAGTTGTTGACTCCTTTTGACTTATGTGCAGGGCATTTGCTAGTTAACTACTTTCGGCCAAACCAGCTCTATTTACACATAATGCACTTGACCAAACTGGCGGTTAGTTAACGGCACATAAATTGCCACGACCACAAACCGATATTACAAAACACGAGCTGCGGTCGGTTATGGTTGTCAAATATGTTCAGAATAAGCTTTGGGGGTTGCTTAGCTGGTCATCTATTTTTAAGGTTGCAGCCCTTGGCAATAGATTGCACAAGCGGCGTTACGTATACGCAGCGTGCGCGCGCTTGAAGAAATATGTGTATGTTCGTGTTGCTGGCAAACAAATTTGTTACGTGCTTCAATTTTTAATAAGCCCGCACTGGACGTCATCAAAGCTGAGGCAAGGGTGCACTTACCGAGGGGTTGGGGCGTTCGGGCCATGTAAAGTAAAACTGCCAGCAGATGCCATAAAATTGTTTTTGTGTGTAGCACTTTAAAAAGCGCTCAACATTTCCAGCAGCAACAGCAACGCCTCAAGTGCAACTGGTTCACAAGGGTTTACTCTTAAACCAAACCAAACAACCCACTCACATACACAAAAACACACTCGCATGCCCGCACAACAATGCCAGCAGCAGCCACAACACAACAGCATAAGTGTGTAGCCAAACTATCGTCGGGTTTTGCTGTGACTAAAAGATAGCCTCTATAAATTATTTGTGTGTACTTAAATTTTATACATACTTGTCACAAAAGTTCACAGCAAGCGACCTTTTTGCTAAACATATTTAAGGCCAGCAAGTACTTATTACCCATTTTGACTTAAGCAACGAAATTTGTAATAAATATATTATTTTCTAGCCTTGGTACTCAAAATTTCACGATAATATCACATACGCTAACTATAGTTAAAAGTTCAGCCTCCTAGCTCTAATAGTTTGGGCTGTGCGTTGATCATCAATCAGTCAGTCAAAAATCATTTAATATTTAAATATTTGCCATATTTCACCATAGTGTTTCATAATATCATAAAGAGTAACTATACGGGAATCTAGATCTTAAGGGGTTGGTTGTGCGTTCATCACCAATCACTCAATCAGTCAGAAAAATCAGTTTTATATTTAAAGATTTGCCCATACATCATCTTAGTGTTCCCTACATTACATAAGGTAACTACTGTTAAAAATTCAACCCCATAGCTCTTACAGTTCGGGCTGAGCATTGATCATCAATCGGTCAATCATTCAATCATTCAGTAATGGGACAAACAATGTTATATTCAAAGATTTCAAAAATCGATTTCAAATATTTTTGAAATTTTTATGTTAATTGAGAGAGCTCTGCTTAGTAGTCCACGTCCCAACAAGCTCAAATTTTCAGCTAAAAAGGTAAGCATATAATACCCGTGATGTACAGCTTACAGGGCATAACAATGGTGTAACTAGCAGCAGCCATTTTGTTGTTGCAACATTTTTGTTTTAGCACACTTTTCGCCTCGCCATGTTGTAAGTGTGCGAAGCCTTTGAAATGTGTGTCTGCCGTAAGTTGGCTGAGAACTGAGGGTTGAGGGGGCTTAGGGCAGCCAGGGCGTGGCCACTTCAACTAAAAACCGAGTAAGCCTTTTGCTTGGTTGGGCTAATGGAGCCAGGAAGTGGAACAACAAAAGCAAGAAATATAACAACGACTAGAAAAGCCATTAACAAAACCCAAAATGACGGAAAACAAGGGGGGGAAACGCAAAAAGGAAAAAGCACTAGCAGAAAAATAAGTACAAGGCACAGGACAACAGCTGTGTTTGCATTAATGCGATTTGTGGTCAAATGCAGTCAAATAACAGCAGCAAGATTAAAAAGACCACGCGAAATAACAACAAAAATTGGTTTTGTGTTTCTTTGTTGGCGGCAGTTCGTAGACCCCTAATGAACCACAGTCTGGACCAGAAAAATTCAACAAGAATGCTCTGGCCGAGAGTGAACAACTAAAGGAGACCCTGTCATCAAATCAGCTGCATATTAAAGTAAATATTTTCTTAAATAACTTCTGTCTTTGTGCTCAGATTATTAAATAGTGTTCAGAGCTCAGATATGGTAGGTTTATGCTTTCATATACCACAAATGAACATTGTGCCGCGTCCGCGTAACCAATTTTGGGGGATGTTATCCCAAATCCTGATCTTTTGAAGGGAATATATAAGAGAATCTACTTACCTAATTTGGTAACTCCATCTCTTATAATCTTCGAGATATGTTTAGCTAATCTAGTCGTTAAATCGACATTTATCAATTCTTCAGGGCATGTATGTATTCCTAGTTCTTATACCCTCTTTATATTGATAGAAATGACTAGATTGCTGTTTCAGCTGATCAAGAATATATACCATATATATATAAATAGTGTGCACAAAAACATGATACCCTTTTTTTACACAATTTCAATTGGGCACAGGGTATACAAAAATATAAAGAAGAAACAAACTTTATTTTTGGAGTCAGCAGCATCCGCAACACCTCCCAAACCAGGTCTGCCAGGGGCTGCTTCTGCTGTTGATTGTGGGCGGGAGTTGGTGGAGAAGGGAAAATTTGTTGATTTGTCTGCAGCTTCTGTGTTGCCTCAGCCATTGGCTGGCTGCCTGTTTTCTGTGCTCTTGTTAGGCCCGAACACAATTTGGCTGAATGCCAAAAGCTGTGAATGCCCTGCCACGCCCTGCGCCAGCCGCAGCCCCAACTCCCCTCACTCACCACGGCCTCTCCACTTTACTTGTCGCATTAATCTCTTATGCGTGCGCACAGCCTGCTCTTCTGCCTAGACTTTAGTTTCTGCTCCCTTTTATATAATTATACATTTCTATACAGTTTTCGCATTCCCTAGCCTAGATATATGGAGGGAGAGAGGAAGTGCTCTTATACATATATTAATGCAATTTCATTTTATGCTTGGTTTCCATTTGGCAGCAGTTTCTGGCTAAAGATTGATGCGATTTCAGGTCACATTTCGTTGGCAGGTGCTTTGGGGCAACTTCTCAACTATAAATAGGATTTATTTTCAGGTATTTGATGTGCGGGAAAAGGCTTTGCAGCGCACTTGCTGCACTTGATAGCAAAGTAGCTGTGGAAATGGATTTTTAGTGCATTTTTCAGTATGCCTTTTGATGCATGAAACTCAGCAAATAGATTTAAGCATTCACCTATAAAATTTTTAAGTAGCTGCCGAAAAGCATTTCGGACCGAAAAATAAGAGGTTAAAAGGATATGAGTGCCAGGCTAGTAAACTATTTTAGCAGCAGATTTCTTCAGTTCTATCGATAGTACAGAATTTATCGATCTCCCAATATATATATATATATGTATATATATATATCAATTATATCCGTACTCCATTTTCTATTACAGGCAAGCATTAATCTTAATTTAAAAATTTGGACGATCAATTAATTGATCTATTTTTGCTGTTCTGTATCGCAGCTAACACCTTTTGTTTTGTACGCTATTCAACTGTTGACAAATCCTTAAGCCCCAGCGGACTTTGTGATTTCTGCAGGCAACTTTAATAAACTTTTCTATTAGGTTTATCAGAGTGAAGCCCGCATAACACAAAATTTATTGCGCCAGGCAGCTGTTTCAATAGACAACATAACCAACGGGGTGTGTGCTTGTGTGTGTGTGGGTTGGCTAATAAATGAACAAAAGGCAGAAAACATTGCAGTTAGTTTGATTTGGGAGCAGCAAGCCCTAGAGGGAATACACCTGCAGGCTGCATTGTTGTCAATTCAGCTATTTTCCAGCTGGATTTGGCTATTGTCTGAGCTCGTCAGCCGGAAAAAGTCGTCGTTTAAATTGATTTAGCTATTTTTTCTACAGCAGCAGTTGGCAACACTGGCAGGCTGCTGAGGGAGCCGCCTCTTGCATTTATTTCGGAGCCAACGACAAATTGTCAACAAACATGTGTGTGTGAGGGTGTGAGTGTGTGCTTGTGTGTTTCTGTTAGTTGTTTGCATTCGGTAGCGCTTCCTGTGCTTTTTAGACATTTCCGTTTGCTATTTACCATTGCCTTTGCCGGTGCTTATTCGCCGCCGTGTCCAAAGCTAATTGGCTGTTTGTAGCTGTTGAAAATCCCAAATTGGTTTAGTGGATTGGCCCATGAAGGAGGCTCTGATAAAAAACCGCGCCCGCGTCCGCTCCTGGCAAAATGTCAAAGTTCGGGCGTGGCTTTGGGGCCATTGTTGCTCCTCCTGCTGTTGCTGCTGCTGTCAGCCACGCCCTTCGCCCACCACTGCGACTGCAGTTTCTGGAGCAGCTGCTCTCATGGGCAAACCCTCACATTCTTCTTGCGCCAAAGAGGTTTTCTCGTTTTCTCGCTCCTGCCCAAATTAAATTAAATATGCCTCAGTTATTGTGCAAAACTTGTGTAAATTTCATTTTAGTTTGACAATTAGTTGGAACTGTGTGCCTGGCTTGTGGCCCAGCTTTGGGCGGAGCCATAAATTGCATTTGCTCAAATGCCATAAATAGTTTTCAGTCGGCAGTCTGAAGGGAATTCATTGTTAAATTGTGATAACAAGCGACAATTAAATTGCGCTTTTGTAACCGCTAGCACAGCTGCCAGATTGGTTTGGGAATTATTAAGAAACTTAGAGGGAACTAATGTAAGGCAGCAAGTTTAAAGTTTCTAGTGTGGGGCTCGCAATTATTTTATCAAGTTCCTATAAGTGATGTGCTTTCTATTTTAAGATTTGTTAGTTTACTGACTTTAATGAACTAGTTCATTGTTTCTGTTCAGTAATCAAGCTTAAGATGTTTATAAAACTTCCTCTTTCTAGTTTCTGTATATTGAAGAGATTTGATCAAATTGTGCAAGTTGGAACTAGACGATTAAACCAATTCAAATGCTCTGTTCTCAACCTACTTTTCTAAATGGGTTGTAGTTTGAAACTAGTTGGCGGAAATACTCAAAGTTGATATTTGCAACTAACTTGGTATACTTTTAGGTATTTGTGTTCTTTATGATAGTAATCTAATAAATCCTGGAACTAGTTCACAGAACCAGCTCATATTCCAGAATTCAAGATCGTTTTTTCCTGAAGCAGCTTTTAGTTTCTGCTCATAGCTTAACCCAACTAACTTTCTTGTTTTATGCATTCCTTATCGAGGGCTTTTGTTGTTTGGAGCCAGTTCATTTATCTTCACAGCTTAGCCAATAAATGTGCAACACAACAATATAGCACTTTAAAATCTTTTACATAATAAATAAAAATCAGTGCCTGCATTTTTGAATGCTTCTCACTTCCCCACCGAATTCCCCATTGACCTTAAAAACTCGGCACAAATGTTGCGCAACTTTTCTCTACTGTTTTTCGCCGTTCTCTTTACTCATCAAAAATGCATCAGCTATCCCTTTGTGTCCGCACATTGTTTGTTATTTCATTGTTTCAGTTGAACTCGTTGTTTGCTTTCGGCTCACATTTCAATTAAAAAGGGGTTGGCGCTTCATTTGTAGAGTATGCGGATTTATGATATATGTATGTGTTCTACTATAATTTCTTATATTTATTTAATGAAACATTTCTGTATTCTTATCAAGTCTTGACCACGCCCAAAGCCATTTGCATTGTGTTCTTGTTTTGGTAGCTTGCCAAAACCTAACACATAAAATATTCAAATGTCAGCCAAAAACATGTTCAGAGACAAAGTGGACGATAGGGTTAGAGGTTAGGCAACTGTGTGGTAGTTAAGATTTTAATCACATTTTGTCACGCCCCATGGACTGACAACATTTCACACTTCGAACAAAAATCGAAACTGAGAGCCACGGCACTTTGCTTGATTGCGGTAACACGCTAAAAGGTTGCTTCGTTTACTCTATAAATGTGTCGATAACATTTCCATTTCTCTAATGGTGCATAGGGTGCAGCAGCTGTTCAGTACCCGCTGTGGTGGGGCGGCCTCAGGGGGTTTTGTGGTTGTTGCCTTAGCCCGAAATTAGCATATTATACAGCATGGCACATGGCTCTAATCTAGACATGTGTTTGCCGCTTAACCTATTTGCAAATTGAAGGACATCTCAAGGATAGAGTTGTGTGTGCGAGTTAATGGATCATTAATAAGCTCTTGCTGATGAAATCTTCATTTCATCCAATTTGCGGTATGTTTCTAAATGAATTGGATACTGACAACTAATTAAATGAATATCCTTTATTATGTGATTAAAAGTCAAATGGAACAATGATAAATAGTTAACGTTATAGTTAGATAAATAGTTATGAAAAGCATAAAAACTCACTGACTGATGAGCTTGTAAACTCTTTAGGAAGCGTGGCGTTACCCAGCTGTTTAACAGATTGTTTAATATTCTCAAAAAGAGATGATTTTGAATATATTTCAATTATAAGTTTAATGTTATAGTAATATGAAGTTATTGAGACGTTTCCACACAATCTGGTCTGACCCATATTCCATTGTCAGGCCATGGAATATTACATTCCAACATTGCTAGGCTCTATAGTTTGAGTCACTCAGTAGACTCTCCTCCCCCGATTCAATTTAATATTCCATTTTGACGTTGCCAGACTGCGTACTATATATATCACCTATATATATCCAATGAGGTTAGCTTTGCTAAATTCTCATCTGACTTTGCTTGGATAGTTTAATATTGAATTCTAACGTTGCCAGGCCGTTTCAATATTTTAAAAAATAAACGCTTTGCAATCAATTTTACGCACAATTTACTCACAGCATCCATGCGACGGGTGTTTTGCGTGTGGGCGTAGGGGCGTGTCCAATCGCTGGCTAAGTTCGTTAAGCTTGTTTAAAAATGTAAACCGCGTCGCAGCTTAGATGCGCGTCCGACCGTTGCCACACGCCGTCAATTGCTTTGTGGGCGTTGCTCGTCTGATTGCATTTAAATAAATTTCAATTCAGTTGTCGCCTCGCCCTAACTACTGCTTCCTACTAACTGGGCCACTTGGCCGCCCGGCGGCTGGCCATTCCTAAGCATCAACTGTGGTCGCAATTAAGTTAAATAAAATGTAGGCCGTTTAGCTTTTTGCCCGCTGACAAATTGAGCGAACAGCCAACGGGCTGGA